TTTAATGGGTAAGTGTCCAACATCCGTTGAAGTAACTGAAGTCATCTCAAGAAGAGAACACGCGTATAGCGGTGAGTATCGTACGGCATTAATCTGTTAGCCATGTCTCGTTGCTAAAACCTACCAAGCCGATGCGGGAACCAACACATCCTTGCAACTCTCCCACAACACAAGGCGTACAGGTAGGCCAGGTGGATCAGCGGGGGATGGCTAGTTGCTTCCATACTTCTTCCAGAATGAGGTAATGAGGTTTACAGAGCAGCCATTTGGTTGTATCATGACATACTTGTAACTAACTCGTCGTAGGGGTAACCCGGCCGTGGCTCTGAGGATGCGGGGTGGCCAATCCTATGCTTTACCGCGCTCACAACCGGCGTCAGGTGGGTCCGCGGACACGGCGGACCGCGCTCGAGACAACGAGAGGGGTGGTGGTGTCTCGACTGAACCCCGGCAAAGTTTTCCTTATCTGGCCCACGCAGATGCATCCAACGACATCAACTTCTTGCCAGCGTCTGAACTATCCATCACATCGATATCTAGGCACTATCCCAATCTGTCTTCGTCATTGAGCATAACCCTTGACGGTAACTTTCTCCAGGCTCTTGCAGCAGTGCGGTCGATTTGGCATTGTGTTCCCCCTCCACCGCGGCTATTGCGGTCATGTCGTCGGCTGCCAAACCCCGCCGCACGCTTGCGGGTCCGATCTTCCGCGTCCGGACGGGATGCTTGACGTGCCGCGGTCGCAAGAAGAAATGCGACGAGGCCAAGCCGCGCTGCCGCGGCTGTGAGCGGAACAAGTTGGAATGTCAATGGCCGTCCACGGGATCCAGTCATGGCGTTTTGCGCTCAGCTCGCGAGGCTTCAGTCTCACAAAACACATCTCAGGGTGTCAGGCAACCTGCCGCCCCTTCGACAGCATCCCCGGAAAGCTCAACAGGCGCATCTCAGAGTCCGCAAGCCGTACAAGACCCATCGCATGGTTCCGAGGCATTCAACTTTGCATCACAGCCCACATCCTCAGAGTCTCCCGCTGCCGCCACGGTTGGATCCAGCCCGGGGTCGAACACTCAATCAACCAGTACTATTGCCGCACCCGTTACAGCAACTCCAGATTCCGCGAACGCGGCCCATCACATTCAAGACCCTGTGATTCCATACCAAGCCGATGCACCCGGAGACAGCCCAATCGCCGGCTTCTTACCCGGCGAGCCTTTGTCTTTCTCTAGCATCGAGGGCGACGATAGGGACGATGATGAGGCTGTCGATCAGTTGGTGTGTTCACCACTCCGGAGAATCTCGGATGCGAGCAATTTCGTGCCAAGGGGGATGAGCTTACTCGGCGGGAACCACGACGATAACTCCCTGGAGCTGCTAAGCCATTACCTGAGTGCCACAACGATAAGTATGGCTAACGGATCGACGACGGAAAACCCTTTTTCTGTGCAACTCATTCCCCTGGCCTTCAGCAGCGACCTTGTTCTCCACCTGCTTCTTACTCAGAGTGCCGTTCACCGGGCTGCCAAATCCCTGGTCTCAACAGACAGAGTTGCGACAAAGTATTACAATCAGTCACTGCGACTCTTTCAACAAAACATATCTACGTTCATGGGCGGTCAAGATGGAGAAGAAACGTTGATCTTGGGCATTGGAGCCTTGATTCTCTGCCTTGTCGAGGTTAGTGCGGCTAGTGCGATCCCGTTGTTGTCTCTTTGCACAGCGTCTTTCGTGAATCCAGGGTAGCTCGTACGGATATTGACACTCCCGCAGACAGCCAAGGGCGATGTAAACGGCACCATACTTGACCACCTCATGGCAGCGCAGTCCCTCATCCTCCCTTTCTTGTCAGCAAACAACACGTTTCTCCACAAGACGCTAAAAGACTTCTTGACGGAATATTACCTTTACACAGCAACGGTCAGCATGATATCCATCGACGCGCGATTAAGCGACCAACTCTTCCTCAGTAATGACCTGTTACTTCTTGCAACGGAGCTTGTTGCATCCTCATACATTGGCAGCCTGTGTGGTTGCTGGCTAGATCTAATACTTCTTATTCCGTCTGTTTTTGATCTGGGTCGGCGCATGATGAGTCACGAGGACAACCCCAACTGGCAACCCTCAGCGGACGACTTCATCCTTTTCGCTCAGCTATTGAGCCAGATACAAAACTGGCAGCCCAACCCGACAGTAAGCGAAAACGTTGCTCTAGCGGGGTACATATACCAGAAGGCTCTGCTCCTATACCTTCATACAGCGTTGCACCCTCTTTCCCGAAGCGATGGCAATCTGCACTCGGTGGCTGTGCAGGCCGCGCTGAGCGGAGCTCTCTCGCATCTTGCGCAACTGGACCCGAGCGTGCGCATAAACACAAGCTTGTGTTGGCCCATCAGCATCATCGGCTCTTGCGTCACCGACAAGGGGCAGCAGGCGTTTCTGCATGAGAGGCTGGGTCACATGTTTGCGACCATTGGACTGGGCAACATACGCCAGACCTCTGTGTTATTGCAGCATGTCTGGGACCACAACGAATTGACACCGGCGGATATCGGCGCAGGGCCATGGAACGTCTGTCGCGTGATGAACGAGAAACAAATCTGGATTTCTTTTGCATGAAATAAAACAATAACCCGGGAAAATGCTTCTTCCTGGTGGGCGTTGACGGGGAGAGGGCATTGGTGTGCCCCACGGGGGCTTTCATTGGGTTTAGGCGTTGCGAAGGCGGCAGCAAGTTCTGAGGGGTTCTGTTCAAGCAAGGAGTGACTCGGTGGGCAAGCGAAGACGTTAACAAACCCTTTTTTATACTCGACAAGAAGATCAAAACTCGGATGATTACCAACCCTTCCACGGCACCCAAGTGTCCCTAACAACGTCGTTCTCGTCCACGATATAATAAACGTAGAACGATGCTGCGGTTATACACGCATGCTGAATGTTGAGGAAGATTTTATCTCCGACCTCGAAGTTGGCCTCCACGTCTCGGCGCTCAGGCTCGGAGTTCTGGACCTCACCCACGATGCCGTGCTCCTGCGACGTCCGCACAACCGCCCAGCCCGGCTTCCCAACTACGCTGCCAAAGCCAGGGAAAGGCCCAGTCTCTTTGGAGAGGGCAATAGTTCCAGCGTTGATGAGGGCTTCGTTACGCTCGGGATACACACTGCACACCTCGGCGAGCACACGAACGGCTTGGTCTTCGGGACCGACGAGCCCGGTTGCGACTTGTTGAAGGTCATTTGTAGGGAAGTTTCCTGGGAGGTGAGGGGATCAGCAATTGGTCTCCTTTATGCACTTGCGAATTTACCCACCAGCGTGAAGCTCCAATGTCACGTTTTCAGGAATCGTCGTCTTAAGGCTACCGACAACATGCGCTGTCGGGGTGGCCCCGACGGATAGGGTGAGCTTCTGGTCCCCGACGATTAACTTCGCAGCACTCAGAACACCATTGATCTCCTCTGTAAGAACACTCTCCGCCTCTTCTTGAGAGCGGCAACCATACGAGTGACCAGCATGGCAGTAGAACCCATATAATGAGACGGCCGACGACTCATTGACGCGCTGGATGAGCTTCTGGAGACGCTCACCCCCAAGGGGGAGACCCGCCCGCTTGGTGCCAACGTCAAGTTTGATGTAAATATCCCAGGCCACGGGAGAGGCCTCGGGGTTCTTCTTCGCGAACTCCTCAAGAAGGGAAATCTGCTTATCGTGGTCGATCATAAGAAGGATCTTGACAGACTTCCGCAGGTCACTCAAAAAAGGGACGGCTCCTGAAGCAGGAGGGAGTCCATAGAGAACCTATTTGAGCAGGCCTATCAGCATTCGAGATCGTCGATTTTGGCAGGACACAAGATGCCATTACCTCATCTAGATTACCCTCTTCTGCCAAGGGCAACAGTCCACGAATTTCTGACAGTGTGGAAGCCACTGTCTTCTTGAACTTGCCGTTGCCGAGCATCAAGCGGGTCACCTCAAGGCTCTACGATACGGTTAGTCGTCGGGTGGACCACTAGGGGGCGGGATATGCAGGGCAAGCTGTGCACCTTGAGTGTCTTCACATGGGGCCTGAGAGTGACTCCGGCCTTTTCCACATCTTGGTGTAACCTCTCAATGTTCTTCTTAATGACCGGCAAACTCAAAACGAGCGAGGGCGAGGGCAGGTCTAGCGCCTTGGAGCCGATAAAGGAGCGGTGGTTCTGTAGGGAGTAGTCCATTGTGATAGAGGTGATTGGCGTGTATGATGCAGGTCGGTGTAAGGCTCTGCGAGAAGGATGGCTTTTGTTGCGATCCCCTGAGCTTTCCCCGCGGACCAGTAGGAGGCGAGATGTTGATCAGGGCATGCGGGTGCGACCAAGGCCGCCGAGAACGGCGACAGGAGCGGCAAAAGGTGGGACCACGTGGGCGTTTCCCCTCATGAACCTCCGCTCCGGCGCCGGCAGTGTTGAGCGCGGAAAACCCGGTGATTGGCAGAGGGTTTGCCGTCTGTTTAACCCCTATCGCCGATGACACCTCGACTTGCAAACAGCAGTGTTTGTGAGAAGCAGTAGAAGGCTTGCAGGTCTTCGGTCATAATAGCTAATTGTGAAGCTTTGGAGAGGGAAAAGGTATGCATTCTGCTAATCAACATGTATTGAACGTGGCTCGTGTGTCATGTGCAGACCTGGATGATTTTGGAGTGCCAAGCTGGTTTGATGCCATGGGAATATTGGACGGAGCGATGGCTACAGATCCCGGGTTTCTGGCGAGCTGGCTCCATCCAGTAAGGCACAGCAATGCACGAGCATCTTTGCATCCCGACAGCATCAATGGTTTTTGTCAAATTAGAGCCATTTCTTCTTCACTTAGTTAGTTAGCTAGTTAGGCCAACCGAGACAAAAGCAGGCGAGAAAACATTTCTCTGTCTCTCTCATTTATCCATTCTTCATTCAATATCTCTCAGTTTCATTCATGATTTGAAAGACGTACGAGGAAACATGTGTATCAAGAAGCGGCAAAACAAATCGATACGAGGGCTCAATCGGGATTCGAACCCGAGACCTCGCCCATTCCCGCTGAGCAGAAGGGCTGTGATAATCCACAAGCACCCGAAGGGCGAATCATACCACTAGACCATTGAGCCGATATCGGATCTTCGTAGGCGAAGACCAATGGTTAGCCGGAGAGCGGCTGTTTGCTTGCCATAGACGAAAGACTAGCGAGTTGCATGTCGGTGGTGTGACTTTACTTGTTGTAGCTGAGTTCTATGGGCTAGCTTGCAAATAGACACGACGTTTACGCATGCGTCAAGAACCTGCACATAGCGTTATTCGTCTCCGATATCATTCCTGTCATTGGGCTCATGTGACTTCTCGCGATGAATACTTCAAGGCCTTGACCATCATGGGCACAACCAATTCTAGTTTCAGAGGTTTTGCAGACTAATCGAATACTGGCTAAAAGGTTTTACTATAAATAAATAACCAAATGCAAACCGCGCGAGGCGTACACCACACCAGTCGCAACACAACTTGCCTTTGAATGTTGTCTGTCTGTTGTAGTAGTGTAAGAAAGAACCGCTGAAGGGGAATACAGTATCAAGAACCAAATACGTCAGTGTGTTTTGTAGTTTCGATGTATCATACAACTTATAATGAAACTATGGTGCTGGGATCCTAAATTTTGCTCGTGACGTGACTTCGCTCTTTCAGATTTCTCTCGGCAGATAACACCATATTGACATGAGTGCTCAACGCCACTACATCTCCGCTCTGGTCTAAAATAATTACTTCAAGATCTAGTCTACCATTGCGGATCACCTTGGCCATAGATCGAATGAAGAGCCACTCGGCGCCCTCTTCCGGCAACGCCTTCTTGACATCCAAATTCAACGCAAGCGTGGGGTACCAAAACATCTCATTGGATCGGAAAGGGGTCTGTTCCTTGTCGTGCTTCGGTCTCCAGGCTTCAACGACCGTCGGATACGCATCGGCAACGTACCCAAGCGAAGTGTTGGTGAAATTCTCGCCTGACTTCAGCCGTAGCCAAAGGTCCGCGATACCCCGACGCGTTCCCTCGCGCGGGACGTAGTGCTCAAGATTGTTATGTGCGCGTGCAAAAGAGGTTGCGCGCGCGTTGAGTTTTGCTCTCTTCACCCAGTGTGGATCTTTGTCCAGAGAGAGGAGGGCAAAGTCGGCTGGTTTGATAGGAGGGGCCATCGTCCACCCGGTTGAGAGGGTGAGGCCCTTCTCGGCAACTAAACGCGTATTAATGACATAGCCGACAACCTCCTTCAGTGAGTTCGATGTAAACCAAGGGGCTGATGTTAGCAGATCATGTTGGTAGAGTGAGACATGCACTGTCGAGAGGTTCCGGCCGATCTTAGTCTCATCAACAACGAGTATCGCGGGCCCTATTTCTGTACGATTGACGTATTCAAGATGTGCAGAGATGGTGTCTGGTTGGCCACGCTCTGCCAGGTGCAGAGATGCCGCGCGCAACATCACAGACGCGACGTAACCGCCATTTGGGACTGCATAATGTCAGTTCAGCGCGTGAATTGCACGAGAACATCCTGTTACTGACCGGAGCCGGTGCACCAGCCTGAAACAAGACTGGCACTATAGACATTCGAATGTAATCTCGTTATCTTCGTAGCTTCGCTGAACGGTACAAGCTCGTCCGAGGTCGACATGGTGCCGACTGCATGCAATGTGACCTAATGATAATGGGGATGATGCTGTGGCACAGAGGCGAGCGAAGATGCTGAAAAGGCGGGTTTACGGATGCACAATCGGCTGCCAATAAAGTAGGGTTGAGATTCCTACCGGTAGTAGGTATAACTGCAAGGTAGAATGCTGAGGTTCGGACGTCGCTGGGATCCGGGGAGGCTGCTCCAGTTCGTCTCAGGGGGCCATGGCAAAGTGTATCAATACTGGGGCGGCATTATCCATAATCAATGCTTCTCTGAGGTTAGCGATGCCATGTCGGGCGGAATTCGTACTGCCTTGCCGACCATTTAATTATGCCTCGGCTCCGCGCATGTCACATGACTTGTTAATAGCCAGCCGCTGCATGAGCCTTTGGTGTGTGGCAGAGACTAAACGCTTGGCGCTTCTCAGTGTAAGCTGTGCCTCGGCAAGTGGACCCAAATCCCCATTGTTTCTTGTTTCCTTGAGCACATTCATCCTTACGGTGGCTTAGTTGAGATCATATTTCATCCACACTCTGCGGCTCCCACACGCAAACCAAAGCCCCTAAAGCGACGAACCGGGCACCGTAAGATTGGCCCAGTCAGTTGGGAGAGCCCACTCGCAGCGCGCAGAAAACCCATCCTTCTCAAGCCACAAATCCTCCGTGTGTCTTGAACCAGCCCTCGTAAGGAACGAAATGCTCCAATGGAGTCCCAACAAGTCATATCCATGTATCCATGGCGTCCCAACGAGAGGTCCGGACATGCCGACCGACTCTCCGGCTCTTCGATGAGATTATCGCCGAGATGAGATCAGTCATCAAGAAAGACCCTTGTGGTGAGGATATGAAGCACACCATCCCCGGCTGAGAATAAATCAATTCAAGACTCAAGACTCATGTTTCCCTGCACAAAGACTCAGCTCTGTCTCAATTACCTGGTTGGACTTTTTAACCTTTCTCACATTGATCCCAAACAGCTTTATCATGGCCACGAAATCGGACCGCTTTCCCGGCTTCACAACCGTCACCGACCAGATCTTTGTCCGTGAAGGAAAAGAGTTGGTTGACGGCGCCCATCCATCACCGGACCACCCAAGAGTTGTCATTGTCTACAGCTGGGGCGACGCTATTCCAAAGCATGTCGCCAAGTACACCGATGGCTTCCGCAAGCTCTTCCCACACGCGAGACAAATCGCCGTCCTCGCCCCCATCTTGAAGGCCATGAGACAAGACCTCGAAACCCGCGCAGACAACATGAAGCCCATCCTCGACCTCGCGTATCCGGACGGGGACTCGGCGATGACGAAATCCAACGAGGATGCAGTCTTGCTGCACGTCATGTCCAACACCGGCGGCATCAACTACGCCGGAACTCTCTACGCTTACCAACAGAAATACGGCCGTCCCATGCCGCACCGTCTATCCATCTATGACTCCACTCCTGGCAGCGTGGTCTTGACGATAGACAACCTCAAACGCTGGTCTCTAGCCATGGCTCTGGGAACGGCCAACTGGTTTCCCTGGCCTTTCGTCATGACCCAGTGCATCATGGGCATTTTCCTCCTCCTGAATCAGGCTTACGAATACCTCATCGGTCGCGAGAGCGCGCCAGTTTTCAGCGTCAAAGCCATTGGCGATCCAAAATACGTCTCAAAGGGCTCGCGCAAGCTTTTCTTGTACAGCAAAGAAGACCCCCTCATCGGCTGGGAAGATATTGAACAAAACATGGCGGAGTCAAAGGTCAAGGGCTACGCATACAACGCCGTCAGATTTGAGGGCACCGGCCATGTCGGGCATATGCGCATGTTCCCTGACCAATACTGGGGTGCTATCGCAGACGCATGGAAGGAGACGTGAGGGTTTTATGCGAAAAGAAGCTATCGACGCACGAGTGAGCATGTTGGCGGTTCGTTCTGATTGGGCCCTCGGCCTTGTGGCGGAATATCTGGCTCTCAGTGGCTTTCAGTGGCTTTCCAGCGAGTAGTAGACTCATGCGGCGCACTCCTTGTAATTATCAAGTCAGATATTAGCGCGGGAGGAATGTCACAGGCCGCCTGCTTCAACTCTGGCGAAATGAGTGGTTCTCGATCACAAGAGCAAAAGTGGCAGTAAAACAAGTTATCTGCTAACGGTATTCAAACGCTCGAATACCACCTTCGATGTGTGCCATTACGGTGTATACGTTAATAGCAGGCATGTGGTTAAGTGACTTGGTATTTCTTTCCCCCCAGATGTCTAATAGTGGCAAAGATAAGGAAAATGGGAGTAATTGCCATACACACCTTTGGCTCGCCATGAACTACTCAACTTCGGGTATGACACAGCCTGGGAGTTTTTACAGTGAATGTTCCTACTTAGTCTTCGAAGAGTTCTCAATAACAAGAAGCCAAAAGAAAAAAGGTAAAGAAAGAAGGTGAAAAGAGTGAAAAAAAGAGAAGAATTTCAATGAATACATCAAGTAAAACTAGCTAGTTATCTACGTATACAAATTTGAGTTTGCGCCTCCGTCTTGAACAAAGTGACCTGGTCGATGCTGCGGGCGCACACGACGAGCCCGGGAACAGACCGTGCGGAGGCAGGGTCTGATGACTCCAATGATGTTGCTATTCCGTATTGAATGGAGTTACATAATAATGAGAGGTTTTAATCTATTGCTCAGCAGCACATGCCATCACACATCTTGATTTACGCAAATTATTTGATCCACGGAAACGTTCATACATAGTCCTGTGCTCCTCTGTTGAAAGCCGTCCAAAAGTTTGCATTGAGAAGTGTTGCGCCCTTTTCTTCCTAGTTAGTCTCATGAGCTATGTTACTTTTGAAAGTATTAATCGTCCTTCGGCTGAATCGGCAGGGAAAGGGCTTTGGATGACTTGTAAGCCCATTCGTTAACTCGACCTTGGGTATAACTTCCTCTCCCATGGGCCCTAGCGCCCTTCCAATTTGTACTGTCGAAAACATAGAAGCGACCACAATCCACACGTTTGCTTCTGCAAGGTGTTGTCCTACACATAATCTCCTGCCAAAGCCAAAATGTCCCACAGGGAATGGTTCGCCGTATCCCCCTTGCTCGATAGGTACATATCTTTCTGGATTAAAACGCTCGGGATCTGAGTATAGATGGGTATCATGCGTCATCGCGCGAGCATTGGCGTAGACAATGGATCCTTTGGGTATGAACATGCCGTGGTAGACATCATCCTCCAATGATCTGTGCGGCACCCCAATGGGAGACACAGGGCACCATCGTAAAGTCTCTTGGACGATGTAGTCGATATAAGGAAGGTTCGGCCGGTCCTCAAAGGTGGGTAACCTGGCGTCTCCCACGACTTCGTCAATCAATCTCTGAGCCTTCTCTTGAACCTCGGGGTGGAGAACCATGCAGAGGACGAATACGATTAGGGTGGACCATGTTGTATCCTGCCCCGCGGCGTAAACCGCCCCTGCAGC